CTCGACCTCGACTCTCTACGCTACTGCCTACGCACGACTTCGATTTATGTTGATGGTGGTGAGGGCTTTCATTGACAAGTGAGTTCAGTGTTTTGGTTCTCCTTCGGTGTGATATCAGTGCGTTTCTGCTTTCTGCACAGCTTAGGACTATCTGGCTTTCAATGTGATTTTGCAATTTGGAATTCTGTCATTTTGCTATTGCTTATATTTCTTGCATTTTGCCAGTTTTGAGATAAAATAAAATATAGAGAACGAGAGTTGAAACATATATCCCTAACTTTGAAGCGCTTTTCACACTGTCCCCTTTTTTTTCTTCTTTTTTTCTTTCCTCTGTTTTGACCTGCCTGGTTTTCCTGGGTGGGTGCCCCACTGCCCGCCTGACCGAGCATATGCATGGCCGGGTGGGCGAACAGCATAGCTGCTCACAGGAATAGGAGTGTGTGTGGCTGTTTGTTGTCGCCTCTGCCATTACATTGTCCTATTCTTTTAACAGAAGCCTAACACATTGATGCCCTGAGTCTCTTTGATCCTCTTTTTGTTGATGGCCCGTTGAGTTTTCTGAGCCTCTTTTGCTGTCGCTCATTCTGGAACTGCAGCCTAATCAAAGCCGATGTGCTTCAGTGCGTAAGGTCTGTACTTCGCTCAGAGCAGCCCGAGATTCAGGTGAGCTACCATTAAACTTGCAGTTCAATCCTTGTGTAATTGGATTCCTCTGTTTGGCACTGCATGTGGTAATGTTCGGTAATCAATGTGGCTTTCTCCTGGCATGTGTCTTTGTGGCTTAGGCCTTTTTCTTTCTTTAGTTTCCTTTAAACCACCACTACCTTTCAGGGTGGAAGGCGAAGTCGTAAATATAAGTTGTACCGTATTCTTCTGAGGCGGGCAGAGGTACAGTGCCAGCGGACCAAAATGGCTGGCGGCGACAGCCAAAACAAAGCAAAAAAGGTTGCGTGGGCACTTCGGCAAAAGCTTGGTGCGCAGTTTTACTCTGCCTCAGCAAAAAAAGTCTCGGAGGTATTGGTTGTTTAAGTGGATCAACATTTCAGGTATCAGGCTATTCAGAGTTCTTTTCTACTCAATATTCCCAAGAGGCCTACTCAGTATTCCAAAGCCAATTGGCCGTGGGGTTTTGCTGCGCGGCTATGGGAATGGTTTTCCTGTTCGTTTGGCCTTTGAATCTTGATTTTGCCTATGGCGATTGTGACAGACGCTGATTTTAACAGACTGTCTCCATGCCTATGTTGCAACACATCTTTGTACTCTGGTTTTCAACAATTGGCCGTCACAGCTGTTGACGCATGGCCATCGAACCTGCTCTCCTTGACTGTTGGCAGCATCGAGGGCACCAGCATTGAGGGCCCAATCATGTCAGACAGCATTTCCAGTTTGTTTTTTGTTGCGTTTCATTTTGTTTTGTGAAACAAAGTCTTTTTTTTCCCTTTTTCCACCGGTTCTGAGTTGAAAACCCCGGCATGCCATGTCGAGCAGGTTTTTTCCTCTTGCTGGCAATTCTGGTTTGGTCCGCAGCGGCGATTTTCTCAAGGCGTGCCCGGTTCTTTTTTAATCTTCTGCTTGCGATGATGGTTTCAACCAACAGGCCGGTCTCAGCTGGTACAATGAAGTGTTGAAATGCCAACCCGGGTTCGAATACAGATGGAACTAGATAACTGAAATACAATAGTTGTGAATTACCTGGGCCTGTCAATTCGATCATGATATCTTAAGGCGGTTGTACATCTCTGTATGTAAAAAAAGTTGCATGGCGGCGGTTTCTGCCCTGACAGTTTGTTTGTGAAGAATATTTTTGGTATGTACGGTCTCAAATGTACCTGACCTGACGACGGCGGGATTGCCTCCGCCTATGCTTTCACCCTCTGGATCCAAGTGTTGGCGAGTTTCAGGGGGAGGGGACGAGGAGCACGACAGGAAGGGGAGATGGCACAACTCTCCACGGCGAACCAGAAACCAACACCATCGACCCCTTTCCCTCCTCCTCCCCCTCCCTGTTTTCCTCATTTTTTGTTTTTAAAGATGCTGTTTAAACCACTAGTACCTCCGTTAGTTGGGAAAATATGGAGGCGTCGGGTGGGCTTCCGATCTTTCAGGAGGCTGAAACGAAATGACCACAGCCGATGAGATTTTTTTTCAACTTTTCTGCTCGTCATTGTATGATGTAGTGCAGAATGGGGGGAGGTGGAGGAGGATGGGGGAGAGGTTGGCGGTGGCAATGGACGAACAGAAGTAGACGTTGCCTAGTACCTCGTAGGGGTTTTCAGGCAACGCGGGTAGGCCTGAGGGAGTCCGATAAGCTTAGTGAGGTACGGGCCCTGAAATAGGATTGCAGACTGAGTTGTTCCTGCAAAAAGGCAGGAACTTTTGGTAGCCCTAGTGCATTGAAGTAGGGTGTAGTACCTGGCCAGGAAGGTCTAGAGGCGGCGGATGCATATGTCATTTCGGGCAATGACCAGTTTGCTCGTTCACCCGGAAGTCACGCTACTGCTCTGCCTAGAGGGAGATGTTGGTGGAGCTCCTTGGGTATGGACTCTGGAGCAGTAGTAGGGAGGGTTGAGAGTTCTCTATGGAGGTGAGGGAGATGGACCCCTACCCTGCTATGGAGTTGTAGAGAGGTTATGGAAAGAAGGAGGGGGGAACCGGCAAAAAGACTCACCTTGGGCTATGGGAGATCATTGGCTTTTGTTGTTGTTGCTGCATGAAGAGGGCCTCTGTAGGGGTACGGGTTGGGTATGGACTTCATCTCGAGAGAAAAGACTTGACGTAGTTGAGGGGAGGACATAAAAATATTTGCATGGTCCTCTGAACGTCAGAGGTAGCCTTGTGTGTATTGCCATAGCCAGTAGCCGTACCAAGGTGGAAGGCAGGTGAAGTGAGCTGATGAAGAGCTTGTTCCAAGGCTCGCAGTAAGGGGGAACAGTCGGATATTGATTCTGGTTCATTTATTCATTGTCGTTGTTAATTAATTATTATGAATCTATGATTAAGACGTTGGAGGTGATGAATATGGAGAGATTATGGAGGGGAGATAAGGAGGGTCCTGGAGGGAGATGACATTGGTTCCAAAATGCATTTTTCTCAAATCTCACGGATCTCCTCCAGCTCTTCGCGGCATTTTTTGGAGTCGCAGCACAAAACAACGCTGCTGTTCCTCCACGTGATCGCCCTTATCGGACAGTTGGAACCATTCATGAATGGCCTGCTCTAGTACAACGATTAGTTGTTCGTTTCTCATCGCTGCTTTGCACGGAGTGATCTCTACTTGCATCCTCTCTTCGAAGATCATTTCTCTGCCCCTGTGCCCAGCAGGACAGTCTATCAACATTCTGCGACGTTCTCCTTTGCACAGCCAAAACACTTGCAATTGGCAGCAGTTGTCATTGTCTCTATCACAATCACTACAATCACGTGGTCTCTGCATCAATGTGTGTAGAGGACTTCCCCGCCTTTCCTGGCTGCAGGCACCGTCGCCATCCAAACACATTAAGTCCACTTTGCGGCCATGGGCGCTATACTGAATGCCTGGAGTTTTGCGGTGCCCATTCTTCCCTTATGTTGGCCTGCAATAGACATGCCATTTGTTTAGAGTGTTTGGTGGGCATGCTTGATGCTGGCCATCATCGCAATTGTTGCAATGAGAATGCTTAGCTAGGTCTTCCATGTCTCATCCATCTCATACATACAATGTATGTCCTTCCTGTGCAAAGGACCGACTGATTCCTAAGCCTTCTATTGTCCTTTCATATGCTCTCATCTCCATTCCCGGCTCCTTAAGTCCTTTGCTCCCTCTTCCTTTCCTTTCTCTTTTCCACCATTTCTCTCTGTTTATCCCCTCTCCCTTTACTCTTACTCTTCTTCATAGCGTACAAGTTGGTCGTTATGGCACACGGGGATGCGGGCAGGTCGTGCTCAACTTCATCAACATGGTGAGCCTGTACGCGAGAGGCACAGTAATGGGGGAACTAAAGAAAAAGTAATCGCGACAGCAAGGAAAGAGAGGAAGAACTGCATACAAAAAGGCAAAAGAACGGTACCTCTCTGCTCTTCAGCAAGGAAAGAAAAGGAGGAACTGCATACGAAGTGTCAAAGGAATGGTGTCAGTGAGCTCTTCATGTTTGTGTTCTGTATTTTTATTGTTTTTTTTGTGAAGTGCGCTCTTTTTAGTCAATACACATTTCTACTCTATGTTGTGGGATTTTCAGCGTACCTTTTCATTGCTTTTCAGTTTGCATTACTTTCCCCGATTCAGGCAAGCAGCTAGACCTTGTGGTTAACCGTCATGAAATGATGTCAGCATCACCTCTTTCAATATCTCCACGTTTCCGTAAAGAACAGGTAAACATATCCGCTTTTCAGGATTTCCCTTCCCGGTTCCTTTTAATTAATTTCGTAAATTCCCATTTTCTTTGTCTGTATCCTTGATTTTCAAACTCGGGACTTGCATTTTCCATGACGGGTACTGATGCATGCTGTAAGTCTTTCGGATATGTGCAAACTGCCAATGCAGCATGATCCATCCTCGAAACAACTGCCTCCTTCCTCGTCTGATCATAAAATCTCTTCCCTACTCCATGATGTGGGCGGAGCGGCAATGGCCAAGCTCGTATTTATCTTTCCATCGAAATTCGATGTCAGGTCTGTCTATCAACAGTTGATGGATGGCCCACATTCAGCCATGTGGGCTGGGTTTGGTGCTTTGAACCTAGTCCGTATTTGATGTCAGGTCTGTCTATTGACAGTCGATGGGTGTACCATTCAGCCACATTGGCCGGGTTTGTTGCTTAGCCTCTCTTTTTTCTTTTCCCCCTTTCAGGGCCATGCTAAGCATCTCTGTATTGTTCCAATTTTAACGGATGTGCGGGATCTTAGTCTCAATTTTGAAGGTTTTATTTTCTTGATCAAAGAGACGGAATCGTCATGTCGTCTGCAGAGCAAGTTTCATGTGTGCATAAACTGGCATAACGGCTTTGTTGACTATGTTCATGCCCTCTTGTGGGTGCATGGATGGCTGTCACCATTGTTTTCCGTTCTTCTTTTTATTTGGGGATAAATTCGGGTGCAGGTGCCAGGAATACGGATTGTTGCCAGCTTGGCTTTCTCATCAGATGCAGTGCCAATTCGTGTTTTGCGCTCAGATATCTTCACTCGCCTAAGGGACCTTTGCATGTCTGAGCATGTGCACGTTCAGCGGGAGGCTCTAATAGCCATGGGCAACCTTGCATTCTCCAGTGAGTGTAGGAGGTTGATGGCAGCTACCGAAGGCTTGAGGGCGATGCTCTTCCGGCTTGCAACAGTTGGGAATGGCAGAAATGCCAAGAGCACGGAGCAACTCAGAAAAGCGGCCACACGCGTCCTCGCGATTCTCGGTGCGTGCGATTGATGTGGTTCATTTCTCGACTCTGTCACAAGAGGATGAAGTCCAGGCAGGGAAGCCAAATTGGGAGCATAATGAGGATGTACTGGACGGAATTGCTATAAAAATTCTCACCTTGTTCCTTTTTGTAGCATAATGAGGGGTACATGATCTCTTATGTGCTACTTGTTTTGCTCATGTGCATCTGTTCTCTTAGTGAATGTATCCTGTACGTTGCATCCATGCATAAATTGTTGCAGATGTGTATGTTTGTGTATTTGTGCAGTGTTGCATACCCCAACAGTTGGCGGTCCTTGACTGGTCGGCACCTACCGGTCGGTGATCGTCGGCACTTTTTTTTTAATTTTGGGTCCAGAACCTCTAATAACCCCCCACCAACACCCCCACCCCCAATACCCGCCTACCCCCATACACACGCCCAATACCTTCAGAACGGCCCCCAACCACCCTCATACCCCCCC